TACTCACACTCTTTCTAATTTGTGAAAAACAACCACCTTCCATGAAATGACATAAAAAACAACCTTTTAAAAATATATGGCTCAACTGTCGATTTCCCTAAAAAAAATAGAAAAGAAAACACAGTGAGCAGTATAATGAGATAAACTCAAAGAGGGGCAAAAACTTTACAAGAGATAACAGAACTGTTAAGAATCTGGATTTGCACAATATATTTTTTCCCCCATAACATACAACTGTTTCTGTGATTCTGTCTTCTTAAGAATTGTGCAATGTAGAGTTGTGAAAGAAGTCCTATGATTGTCATCCTTAACAGAATAGTTATTATTTTACAAGAAGGTAATGTCAATTGTTTAAACAAAATAAAAGAGGTATATATCCTTGTTTAAACAAATAAGAGATGTGAGTGTTTGTTTAAACATTAGAGGAGTACAAGTGTTATATGAAAAGATCTTGGGAGAGGTGAGTGCAATTTCCTCTGAATTATAAAGTTTCTTGACTAAAGTTGTCTAGTACTTAGTAAAGTCGGTGCTGATGTTTGGTATTGTTAGATTAATTGTTAGAAAAGCTTTTGGGCAGTTTATTTAGACTTATCATATAAGCACTTAAATTATAAAAGTGATTTGTCATCCTTTTTATAACTGCTTTTTAGCAATTTCACACTAAAACTTATTAAGTTCTTATCGCAAAATTTCATATGATGTGTTTAAATTGGATAAAATCATAAGCTCAATTAAGTGTCTTTTACTGATGAAGTCGTGAATACTTAGTTGACAGTTGTTTCTCTTAAGCATATTGATTGAGTTTGATTCCTAAACATATATATAGAAAAAGTTTTGTTGAGAGGTACAAAGTACACTTCAGAAATCTTTAGCCTTTGAAAGAGATTATGTTAGGCACAGGAACGGCCATGGGAGGTGGTGGAGTGTGTGCGACAGTGTGAGAGGAGAGTAAGTTGATGAAAGAACCATTAATAGGAGAAGGTTAACTATTTTATCAGTACTTCAAATTCTACAACTTAAAGGAATAAAAATAACAATTTTTAATTCTCCATTGATTCCATTGATAGAGTGATACAGTATATTTATAAGAGAAACACACTCAAACAAATTCATAACAATTCCATTCTAGAACCTACCTATATGAGATATTATTTATTATTATTAAAAAGACAAATGAAGAAATATTAATATTAATAATGAGCCTAAAGGTAGGAGATGGATCGGAATAGATTAGTTTACAGTTGTTAGCTTGCGAATTCATTGGTACACACTTAAAAAAAGTGCCTTTTTTTTTCAACTAACTAATTTCATCATGTAATTTGTGTTGTGGCAGTAAGACTTACTGCGGTTACTGCCCGCGGGTCAAGAATCTCTTGACACAGCTTGGAGCATCCTACAAGGTCATTGAATTGGACATCGAAGGTAAGGGTGCTATGAATGCTCGAGTGATTTCATGTTTGGTCCATTTTATCAACCATCGTTTTTCTTTCAAGTTGATGCAAGGTACCTGCTTTTGCTGTCCTATTTTAGATCTATTCGGATATATTACTCCTTCTGACCTATCAAGTTTTCCAGTTAGTCATAAATTAACGTAACTGGTAGTAACTTGATTGGTTCTGAACACATCTCTGATGTTTTATGCTTCATTGCAAAGAAAGTATTATCAACACATTCTTTAATACACTTTTTTTTAATATAGTCTTTCTATTTTGTTAAAATTTATTAAAAATTACAAAATCATAAGAAATGGAATTCACAAATTTTTGTGATTTCTAATAAATTTTAGCTATTAATAGTGTGTTCAATGAGTATCTTAAAAATTAGACTTAAATATATTTTTAGTCTCTCAAATTTAAGATAGATTTGTTTTTCGTCTCTCAAATTTAAAATTATTTTTTTAGTTCATGTAATTTTCAAAAATCTTATTTTAATCTTTCATGTCACCAATAATATCTGAACTAAATTTGATGTTATATTTTCACTAACAGGAAAACTAGTAAGTAGATTTTATACAATAATATCTAATAAATTCTCTAAAGAAAATTGAGTAAAAGAACTAAAACAAGACTTTTTGAAATTATGGGAATTAAAAACAAATTTACCTTAAATTTGAGAGCTATTACTTAACCTTATGTTGATAGCTTTTCTCTATAGCAAATGTCATATGATTATGAATCTTGAAGTCAATCTTGAGAGCTACTCTGCTTTGAGCTTGCTACGTGCATTATGACTTGTGAGATTTGGTTTTTTCTAGAGATTCAATTTAGGAAGAAAAGTGAAGAATTATGGTTATTGAATAAAAAATTAAAGGTTGAAAATGTGATTATTTGCATCCACATATATAATGAATGATACAGTTTAAATCTTAATTGTCAATTTTTTAATCATTCATTGTAATTTTTCACTTGAAAGACTCTATTTAAAAAGGTAAATCTTACATTGTGAATGTGGAATATGCAAAAATGACACACGAACACTCATTATACCCACCATGGGAGTCTATTATCCTCTGCCCCAATAACTGTTATACATTAATTTCAAGCAACTAATTTCCTATCAATTTTATAGTGGCTTGTTTGGTTAGTTTCCTTTTCCTTATATTTCTTACTTAATTGAAGGTGATGGAAGTAAAATACAGTCAGCTTTACTTGAGTGGACAGGGCAAAGGACCGTGCCTAACGTGTTTATTGGACAAAAGCACATTGGTGGTTGTGATGGTAAGGCCACGCTCCTCTGTTTCTTAAAAAAGTGCTTTTTTAATAAAATAAGCATTTTTCTATTTTTTTTAACATGTTTGTCTAAACTTATATATTTTTAAATAAATAGTTTTCTGTTTTTTTTAAGAAATAACTCTTACCTGTTTCTTAAAAAATTGTTTCTTTTAAAGTACTTCTTTAGAAGCATTTCGTTTCAAGTTTAAACAAACGACCTATTATTAGTTTTGTTTTTGTTTATTTGCATTTGCTTGTAACATTCTATCTCGTGTTCTGTCTTGCAGATGTAATGGAGAAACACAAAGCAGGTCAACTGGTTCCACTTCTCAGGGATGCTGGGGCGATCGCCTAATGCCAATTAGTCTACTCAACTCTGAACAGCCACTGAAATATTTAATTAAATATTTCTAGCATTACTTTGTGTGAATATTTAGCACAACAAGCATGTTTAATGTGCTCCAATTATGTGAAAAGGGATCCTGTTATTATCATGAATGTATTATATCAATGTTAAAATAAAAAAATTTATGTGTGATTTATGTAAGTGATTACGTGTCTTCTTTTAGGGATTTGTAGCAAACACTCTTCTATTTGGAGATATGGGAAGTTAAGTTTCACATTTTGTTTTGAAAAAAAAAAACTGTATCTATAAATTTATTTTAAAATAAATTAAAATTATTGATATTATTGTTATTTATAGAATAAAACTTATGTTCAATAATATAACTACTGTTGGTGTTATTTTTTAATTTGAATTAAAATTTTACTTTGATAATATGTAGAGTAAATTATACTTACACTTTTTTTATTTTTTTGGGATTGTAGTCTATATTCTTTCACTATTTGGTCTTACAGTAGTACTTTTTAAAAGATGAAAAAATGTTGTACTCCTAACTCTCGAGTTCCTCTTTTTTCAATGAGATTTTTTAAAAGTTAAAAAGATGTTATACTCACACATGAGTTTTCCTTCCTTTACAAAATCTTCTTTGAAGCTCCACCACCACCTCATCCCCCTCCTACTCTTTCTACCCCTTAGCACCTTGCTCCCCCAAAGTCTTGACCATGTTTGCTCTTAGTTGCAACCTAAGAAGAAAACCTCCTTCAACAATGCCTCCACCCTTGCCCTATGACATTGCAACCATTGCAACGTGTAGAAATAATAGAGTGAAGTTGAACTAGTTCATGTAAGAAATACAGTAATTAGTATCAAAATAAAATGAAGAAAAAGGAAGTAGATGATACTGCTAGTAAGTCACAACACCCTATTATATTTTGTAAGTAGCACTCACGAGCAATGGATGCAGCGTCATGGTTTAGGGCGGGGCCACTATTGGAGGAGGGTTTTTTCTTGGATTTTTTAATACACGTTTTAATGATTTAAAAATGAAAAAGCAATTAATAAGAAATATTTTAAAACTTCTTAAGATATAAAATATTTTATTTTTCCTATATATTTTATTAAATATTATTTTAGTAAATGATCTTAAGATATTTGTTTATAAGATCTTAAAACTTTATTCGTTATTATCAATTTTATGAAGATGATCTTTTTGCGTGTTAATTAGTCAAAGTTTTTTGATGAAGTTAAAAGCAAAAGTCAAGGAATTCATAAAAACAAAAGCAAAAAATAAATAAAAATTGGATGAAAATATAGTCAAGACATAAGCATCTATCGAGATAAAGGTGTAAACTACTAAATTGTAAAGCTCATCGATTTAAGTGTATCCCAAAAGGGTAATATGAGAAAACATAAAATAAATTTTAGGCTAAAAAACTAATTTAGTCTCTTATTATAATTGTTTGTTTCAATTTAGTCTCACTTAAATTTTTTGTCTCAATTTGGTCCCTAATAAATTAAATTGTTGCAATGTCGGACTTCTATACAAATTATTTAAACGGAGTTAACTGTTGACCACATTGATGTCATGTGGATGTCACGTGGATGCATAGGTGGATGCCAATTTTTTTTAATGCATCTGGAACCAGAACAACCCGTTCTGAAACCAGAACGACCCGTTCTGAAACCAGAACGACCTGTTCTGGTTGCACTCTTGGTGTGTTAATTTTGCACCTGGAACAGGCCGTTCCAGGTTCAAAATTAACACACAAAAAGTGCAACCAGAACGGGTCGTTCTGATTTCAGAATGGGTCATTCTGGTTCAGAATGCCAAACACAAACGGTCCATGATTATAGTTCACGATTTTGAATCGTGCAAGGAAAAAAACTCAAGGTACAAAGCATTTCAAATACTAGATTTGGTAATATTGTCAATGGGGATTGATAACTTCAATTGCTAAACATTTGAGTTATATAGTGTATCATTAAGGACAATACAGTGTGTCACTAAAGACAATAGTAACAAGTTTTATTTCATTGTTAGTCAAATTAAAGTGAACCACTTACTACCAAATTGACACTATACAGTCAAGGATGAAACGACATGGTATTTTTCCTTGAAGTCATTGACCGATGTACCTCAACAACAATAACTTGTTCTTGAGAAAGTACAACTTGAAGTAAAGGAAGATGATACATACGACCAACATTTCACCACACAACCACATGTACAGGTAGATAATGTTGATATCCTATCAGCCATTCAATATTATATGGTGGATAAGATGTATTATTGACACCTTCAGCGTTATCCAGATGATTTTCCTTCTCAGTAATTTCTTTGAACTTTTTTAGTATATGTTATGTTATGTTATGAATTTTTATTTTCAGTCTCTGAACCATATTTCTGTCTTTGAATTTATGATATGAATTTTTATTTTCAATTTTTGAATCACATTGCGGCATTTTGTTGAACGTACATATGTGGTTGGCGTTTTAGAACGGTCCGTTCTGCTACACTCGTGGTGTGTTAATTTTGCATATAGAACGACCCGTTCTAAATTCAAAATTAACACATAACATGTGCAACCAGAACGGGCCTTTCTGATTTCAGAATGGGTCGTTCTGGTTCCAAATGCATTAAAGAAATTTGGCATCCACCTATGCATCTACGTGGTATCCACGTGGCCAACAGTTAACTCCGTTTAAATAATTTAGACGGAAGTCCGACATTGCAACAATTTAATTTATTAGAGACTAAATTGAGACCAAAAATTAAAGTGAGACTAAATTAAAACAAACAATTATAATAAGAGACCAAATTAAGTTTTTAGTCTAAATTTTAAGATGAAAATATATTTTTCATTCCAACAGTTAGATTTTGGAAAAAAAAAAATCGATTCTTGACATGGTGGATTTTTTTTTTTTTGTATTATATCTTATTATTGGAGATTGTAAAAATAAAATTATCTGTACCAAAAAAAATTATATTATATCAATTCTTATATATAAGAATGTTTTTCCATTGAACAAACAAAGAGACAATAGAGAAAAAACTAATTGAGTAATCAAGGTTATTCTACTTGAGTGAGACCACAGAGAGAACTACGAATGATAATTTGATATCTTCGCTTTGAGAATTGCTAATAGTTGTTTTAACATGCTTGGTTGTGAAATTTAAGGGTTGGTTTTTCTTGGAGGTTCTAGGAAAGGATTTTTCTTATATTTTGAGTGTTATATGTCACTCAATTTGTAAGATAAGTTTTATGTGGTATCCTATGGTAAGTTTTCCCAGTGACTGGTTAGATTGAGCACGTGAAAAGTGTACCAAGTAGGGTTGTTAAGTGTCCTTCAATGTTAAAAATTTCTTGCTCCATTAACTCTAATTAATCTCCATGTATTAATTATAAATAATTATCTTACATGAAAGAGTTTTTATGAGTAATTTTTTTAGGTTAAATTATATTTTTTTGTTATTTTATAATTTTAATCTCTCAATTTATAGAATTTATTATTTTGATTTCGTTAAAATTATAATGTTTATTATAACTTAATAGTATATAAATGACATAAAAATTAATATTTAAATTAAATTACAATTTTAATGTTTAGTTTTATCTAATTTTATCACTTTTATAAGATAAAAATAAGGATTAAAAATAAAATTTAACTTGAATATTATTAAATATAATTGTTATGTCATATAAAATTATGATTAACATTATAATTTTAATAATCAATCGACAAACATTGACAAACATTTAGTGAGGACCAAAATTGTAAATTTTATAAGATTGAAAAATTAAAATTAAAATATAAAAATAGAGTAACTAAAATTATGGATTTGGTATTATAAAGAGATAAAATATAATTTAGTTTTTTTTTTTCAAAACATTTTGGAGAGATTCTTTTAACTTATCATATAATTTAATTTTTTTAAATGTTAAATTTCAATATTTTTAAAATATTAATAATTAAAATTTTAAATTTTAAATAAAATTTATATATATTTAAAAATATTTATTTATACTAATTTTAAATATAATTTATATATTCAAATATAATATTTATTTATATATAATTTATTATATATAATAAATATTTTAATATAAATTATTTATATAAATCTAAAATGTAATTGATATATATATATATATATATTTATTTATTTATTTGTTAAAATTTGAAATATAATTTACATATTCGTATCCAAATATAATATTTACTATATATAATTTATTTTAATTTTAATTATATAATAAATATTTATCTTATGTATTATAAATACTAAAATAATAGTATAATAATCTATTTATTTTTAATGAATTTTAATTATAAGATGATTTGTAAATATTTATTTATTATTAATTATAACTATAATTATTTAATTATGCAATAAAAATATTTAAATAAGTTAAATTCTTCCAAGGGCCCAAAATATGAGCGACCCTTGATTACCAATTTTCCTCACAACCACGATCCAAATTGAACATAACCCTAATTTTCCAATTCCCTTCTTTGTTAGTTTTTGTTGCTAAATTACATTTTCAATGAAAATTTATGTTGTTTCGCTCCTGAGCCCCGTGCCACCAAGCAGCAACAAAATTCAACACGTGTGCGCTGTTTTTGGCTTAGTTCTCTTCCCTTACAACATTTGTCAAAACCCAAAGCTTAAGCTTTCTCTTTGTATTTTGTTCCTCCTACATTATTATATAATATATACACAGATATAAAAATAAAAATAAAAATGGGGTCTATGATGAGTTCACAGAAAAGCAAAGAAGAGATGGAAGCAGCATTGAATAAGGCTAAGGACATAGTATCCTCCTTCCCTGTCATTGTCTTCAGGTTTTTATTTTTATTTCAATCTAACCTACTTCTCCTTGTTGCTTTATATTTTCCATGTAACATGTTTCTTCCATCAAATTCTAAGAACTGAACTAAAATGCCTTAGGGATTTGTAACCATCATATATTGTAAATGTGTTCACTTGTATAATGATTAATTACTGCTAATGATATTTTTGTATTGGTTCACAACATGAACTTTTTTTTTTTTTTACAGTAACACTACATTTTAATTGAGGTGGTTTGGTTACAACTTACAAGAGTGAAGTGGGTGTGTTTGCTTACAATTTTCTGTATAAATAAATTTTTATGACCAGAGTTGTCTAGTAAGGTCTCAAATGTTTGGAATTACGGAAAACACAAAACTTAGGTACATTATCTAGTATCATAGATATTGATACTCTGTTAATAGATACTGTAACTCTGTTAATAATGTTAAATTAGAATCATGCATAAAGGCTTATTATCCATATCTATATTAATGGTAAACTCATATTATTGAAGTGAAACGTTAATTATGATTGAAAAATAGTATTAATAACATATATATTATTAGAGCAAAACTTTAATTCTGATTGTATGAAGAATACCTAGGGCATGCATCCTAGAAAAAATGGTTTTCCTTGTTTGTTTTTGATGTAAGGAAAAAGCAATTGCATGTTGTAATTTGTGTGGTGGTGGCAGTAAGACTTACTGTGGCTACTGCAAGAGGGTGAAAGAGCTCTTGACACAGCTTGGAGCATCCTACAAGGTCATTGAATTGGACACAGAAAGTAAGGGTGCTACCAATCCTTTCTCTCATTTCATGTTAGCTCCATTATAATCAATTTCCTTTTCTTACTCATTCTTTGCTTTAAATGCTTTTGTTGTCCTCCTTCACATCTTCTCCACTGCTGTGTTAATCACTTATACACTGTTAGTAAAAAAAATTTTACATTGTCAATTAATTATATCTTTTAATTATGTCATGTTACTATAAATACATTTATTTTTAACAGTAACATGACACAATTAAAAAATATAATTAGTTGTCAGTATAAAAAAAACTTTACCCTATCAGTATATAAGTTATTAACTTATTACCCTTACTTCACACTGTACTACTATAGCAAATGTAATAATGTTATACAGTTGTCTGGAGTCGAGACTTGAGAGTTATCTTCCTTCGAGTTTTGAGCTTTTGTACTTGCATTGTGAGATTTGATTTCTTTAAAGCAATAGATTCACTTTTTTTCTTGTTCTTTGATTGAAAACAGTTAGAATTGTGATCATATGCATGCACCTTTTTCCAATGAACTCCTGTTATTCCTACAATTATGATGTGTTTGGTTTCATGTTGGGTTCTCCGAAATATTGGTGAATGTGATTTTCATTATATTTTCACATATTACGTGCTGAATAAAAATTTTTGTAGTGAGTTTTACTACTAACTTTTTATATAATAAAAACATCCAACCATAAATCACATTATTTTACAGAATCAAATTCATTTCAAAATCAATTTAGTTAATGCTCATCCAAACACAAAAGAGTGTATTGTCCTCAGTCTCATGGGCTGTTGCAAATTATTTTGTAGCAATTTATTTGCTATCAATTTCATAGTGACTTGTTTGGTTAGTATCCTTTCCCTTATAGAATTGTTGATTTTATTGAAGGTGATGGGAGTGATATACAGTCAGCTTTAGCTGAGTGGACAAAGCAAAGGACGGTGCCCAACGTGTTTATTGGAGGAAAGCACATTGGTGGTTGTGACGGTATGTATGTATGTATGAATGTATGTTTCTTTTAATTCAATTAATTAATTAATTAACTTATAAGTATAAGGTTTTAGTTTTTCAGCACATAAATTTATAGTTTATTAACTTACAAGTTTTCGACTTACTTGTGTTGTGTTTTGCAGCTGTTATGGAGAAACAGAAAGCAGATGAATTGGTTCCACTTCTCAAAGATGTTGGAGCCATCGCTAATAACTCTGCTCAACTCTAAATATCATAGAATCTTTTCTTAAATAAGATGAAATAAGGAGAAAACTACATGCTACAATTTCTACCAATACTTTGTTTTAATTATCATTATCATCATGGAAGTGGTTTATTCTCATATTTTTAAAAAAAGTTATGTATCAGGACTTAATGGAATGATTATTCATCAAATATAACTAATAATTAAATAATCAAAATGTTTATATTTTTAAATAATATTTTCCTATAGTAAAAACAAATTTTATTTTTTAATTAACTAGTTTAGTTAATTACTCCCTCTATTTTTTTTATAATCGTTTTGTTAGTATTTTGTTGTTTTTTTATTGTCATTTTTTAAAAATTAATGACTGATTAATTTTTTTTTATCTTTATAATTAATGTATGTTTACTGAATAATGTGTCTATTTATTTTTAATGTACATATTTTTTCTCCAACTACCTCAACTACTTAAAGAGTATAACAGGAAAATAGATAATAAATATTTTTAAAAACTAAAATATCATATGCATTCACCTTAAATAATAATAATAATTTTAAATAAAGGAAATATTAATACACTATTTTAATTTAATATTTTTTAATATGTATGCATTCACCTTAAATAATAATAATAAATTTTAAATAAAGAAAATACTTTTTACCTATTATATTTAATATATTGAAAACTATCCTGATCAATTTAGTGATAAAAGATTAAAGTAGTATACAGAATATTTTTAATTTCGAATCTTGTTCCTTTTATTATAATTTATACTAATAAAAAAATTATATATATATATATATATTAAAAAATATTACCAGCAAGCATATAGATCAAATGATGTGTTGTTATTCTGACGAAACTTGTGATCTCGAACTTAAACCATCAATGTACAATTGTGTTAACAGATACATGTGTATAGTAAAAAAAATAATAAAAGACATTAAATACGTTATCTTAATTATTTTAATTATTTTAAAATTATATAATAAATACTTTTATTTAAAAATAATGAATAGTTTATTTCAATAACAAATTATATTTTATTTCCTTTACCTATATATTAGATATGTAATATTAAAAGTCTATTAATAAACTTTGTCTGCACAAATAGTATATTCATATTTTAATTTTATATAAAAGATTAATACATTAATATATTTAATTATTATATATTTAATTTTATTATATAATACACAAAATATATTAATATTTTAAAAAACTAACGACAGGGAGAGTTACTCACACCACAAGAAAAATGACTTATGCCTACACACAAAAAATGTCACTAAAAATCTAAATTCCATAGGTAAAAGTATCATGGACTTTGACCTACACACATTGAAGTTGTCAACTTTGAGGGGGCATATAGCTATAACTAATAGCCTATCACTATAAGTTTTACCTATAGACATAATTTTACCTACAACTACATTTGATTGTCACTATAAAAGCTACCTACAATTTGTATGCGTGGGTAAAAGTCATTAACTTATATTTACACTCCCTACTATAGGTAAATATCATTAAGTTGTACTTACATGTTATGACCGTAGGTAAAAGACATTAACTTATTCTTACATGCTCTGACTATAGGTAAAAGTATTTTTTATTTTATTTATTATTATTACTATTATTATTATTATTATACCTATATATATATATATAAATATAATATCTCTTATAGAGAATATGTGTACCCTATACAAAGTGTAGTTCAAATTTTATTATTATCTTGTATACAAAAAATGACATTAAAGTATAAAAAAAAAAAGTCAAATTTCATTAACTGATATATTGATATATCTAATTTAATATTTTGTTCTTGCTTAAATTTCATTAAATAATAAAAACTATATATACAAAACATAAAAACAAAGGAAAAGATAAGTAAATGACTTGACAAAAGTTGTTTTTTGATCTATATTAAAATAACATGAAAATTTTTACTTATTCACTTGGAGAACTAGAAGGGTTTGGCACATTCACTGTCAAGCATTCTGCATTGCACTTGGCAATATTATCATTATCTGGTTCTTGGCTTACAGATGTAAAACTGCGATCAGATATATAGCCATTGACTTTACCCCTAGAAAATGTTGTAAGGGCCTCTAAGGGATAAAAAAGTGCCATGACTATGGTATTTGCCAAATCTTTGATTTTGACTATCCTTAAGATGCAACAAAGTAAGTAGAGAGAAGTGACAACACCACTTTGCATGTCCTGGATTAATGTGCTACTAAACATTAATAAGAACACACTGTATAATATTAAATCAAAATCCATCCAAGAAAGATCTTTTAGAGATCCTTGAACAGATGCAAATTAGATCACAGTGAACATAGAAACCAGAAAATGAAGTTTCATACATTAACATCCAGTAATCTCAGGGAAGGAAGAAGAATTGGAAAAATCAGAAGCATCAGAATGCTGTCTGTTATTAGCCTCCCAACATCAGGAATTCCAGCAGAGATAACGTCACTAAAGTAATACAGGTTATCCTCAATTTCATCTACAGCAGCAATAATTGCAGAGGTTGAATCTGGACCTGGATTTCTGTCTCAGTAACAATAATTTCTCTATCAGGAAAAAAGGAAATCTGAAGTTAATATACTAAAGAGAAAAGAAGCAATGATGTCTTACTTCAGTGTCTCAGAGACCAGTCTATTTAAATCCATACATTGATTCCTAAAGAATGAAACCAGGTTTGAGAAGTAATTAGTGTGAGGTGCGCTGGCTATATATCTATTAACACATTCATCCCCAACTGAAAATTGCACAGACAATTGTCAGAAAATTTAGTATTTTGCATCGTAACATAACTGAGTTCAGGAAAGAAACTTGGAGGGAGAAAGGCCACATAAAACAGTAAATCTTAGTATCTTACCATGATAAACATTAAGGGTCACAGTACGGACAGCAGTACGAACCATGCTCTCCTCATGAAAGGCAAAGCGTATTGCTTCAACATAGAGTGGAAATGAAACTATTTCATCCTAAATGCATAGAAAAGTAGAGTAAAAACCTTTGGACATGTAGAAAACAAAGGCAGAATTATCTGATATCTCCTTCACAACCAAATTGAATTATCGATTAAAAACAGATGGCCAACATAAAAATTAATAATCTCACAAAATGGCTGTTACACTAACAGGACTACCAATTGTCCAACAGATTTCTTGCTCAAGTCTATTCACTTTGAATATCAACCTCAATTGCAGAAAATATCAAACAGAATTTTGTTGTATTCTGTTTATTATCAGAATTAATAAGTAATAGAATAGACACTTGGCAACCGGGAATTGATGAGGATGCTGGAATATGGAAGAGAAGGTGGCAGAGGGGGTACAGAATCACCATTAGTATAAGTAATTTGGGTTGTGGTGGCGGAGGGGGTATGGGCATTAGTGTAAGTAATTTGGGGTGGCTGTAGCCATAGGAGAGAGGTAGCATTTCTCATCTCTAAATCAAAACTGTTTAAGATATAATTACATAGATCCATTATATAAAAACACAGAAAATATACTTTTTTTATTCTGTGACAAGTGTAATGTTGTGTAAAAAAATCATAAAATAAATGTTGTTTTAATTTTTCAAAATAATATTAGTTATTATTTTCTATTTATATATATCCTTCATAATATAATTTATAAGTTATATTTGTGTTATAATATTTAATATATTTAAGGTTTTTTTCCAATGCAATTTTTTAATAATTTTTTTAATTAATCTTTTAAGACATAATTACATAAATTCATTATATATATATATATATATAAATAATATAAATAAAAGATACTTTCTCCACTCTATAACACGTGTCAAATGTTGTGTAAAAAAAAGAAATAAGTCATAAAATAAATGTTGTTTTAAATTTTTAAAGTAATATTAATTATTTTTTATTTATATTCTTTATAATATTGTTTATAAGTTGTATTTGTGTTATATTGTTTATAGCAAATAAGAAAAACATTATTTTTTTCATCTATTTAATAATATTTTTGATATATGTAGAAAAACTAAAATAACACTTGTTATGAGACAAAAAGAGTAGATAAGATAAGATTATCTTCCATGTATCATTTATGTAATCTCGTACCAGAAGTTAAAGAGCACTGAAACAATGATAATCCCAAATTTTTTAAGTTTTGTGAACAATATCTATATATAAAATTAGTATTTTAGTTATATAATATACTTGATAAAAAAATATTTTTATATAATTAAAAATTTAAAGATATTTTTAATGATTAAATTATGTTATAACTAAATTCATAATAGATAAATCCATATAAACAAAATTTTGAGTTTATAATCAATAATTTCAGTTTTAATATAAATTATTTTTAATTATTGATAATTTCTTTAAAAAAATCTGTTAAAATTTAATTAAAAACATAGGTAAAATACAGTAGATTAGAAGGTTAGATAAGAAAAATTCATTTACAGGCATAAAGATAAAAACAAATATAATTTAACATATTTGAGAGAGGATTTTTTTTAGTTAGTTGAAAAAATAGTGTGTAAAATTCATATTCAAATTTTGTTAAAATTGAACAACAACTTGAAGGTAATCAAAGTGTTCATATTTTAGTATATTTTGAAATGTAAATATTATGTCAATTTTGTTTTATAAGAATGAAGTATCAAATCATCTTAGATTAATATAAAATTTGACATATATGATCTAAGAGATATGAACTTTCAATCTAACGGTTGGATTTTCAAAATTTACATTTAATATAAAGTTATTGAGCGGTGTAACACTTAGTAAAAGTTACACCGGTGTCGTTTGAACCCTCCTCATATATATATATATAGAAATATAAATATATATACAGATCATATATTAGATTTTCATGATACAATAAAATTTGAATTATACTTGTAGTGACTAGTCAGGATAAATGAGCATCATCATAATATTAACCAATAAAAGGATATTTCACCTTAATCAACAATAGGATATTTCACCTTCATTTCTTACTCATTTAAATCCCCAAGGTCAAACCTCCAGCTACAAATAATTCAAACTTTATCTTCTATGGCCATAGAACAATATTTATCTTCATAAATACGTGAAGAAATAATAACAATATGAGTCAAAGAGACTTTAACAAAACTATATCATAGTTAATTATAAATATATTTACAATAAATATATTTACGTAAAAAGAATATATTAATAGTACCAATAATATAAATAAAAATGACAATCATTATAAAATAATGAAACAATATAAAATATGAACACCTTAATAATTATTATAGACAAAAATAATCAAAGGTTAAGCAAATAAATGAGGTTAGGGACACCCCACTAAATAAATATACATAAAAAATAACATAAATAAATAAAAATAGTAGTAGATAAAATTTTAAAGAGATAAGGTTCTCCTCCCCCTTACCTGGATAAGCAAGAGCTAAAACTTGAGTAGAACCTCCCCCTCTAGATTCTCCATTTCTTTCCCTCTCTTTCTCTCTCTCTAAGATTTTACTATTTCACTCAATTATATAATTTTCACCCCTGATGCCCCTATTTATAAGCATTCTGACGCACCCGGAACGGCCCGTACTGAATTCGGAACGACCCGTTCCAGTACCTTCAAATGTAGGCAAATTTTTCAACTGGAACGGCCCGTTTCCAAAAAGTAGAACGACCCGTTCTAAAATTAGAACGGCTCGTTCTGAGTTTCTTTTTAACACACATTGACCATAAGCAGAACGACTCGTTTCTAACTTCACTTTCTAGGCATTTTTAGGATTCCGGAACGGCCCGTTTCCCTTTTAGAACGGCCCGTGCTGGAAAAACCCACACATGCCTTTTTACAAATTTAGAACGGCCCGTTTCACTTTTAAAACGGCCCGTTCCGGGCCAACAAACACAAGCCTTTTCAGAAATTTGGAACGGCCCGTTCCACTTTTGGAACGGCCCGTTCTGAGCCCAGAATATTATTTTATTATTTTTAATTATAAAATCCCTTTAATAATTCCATAAATATTTAAAATACATAATAATCATTCATTAAAATCTCTAAAATATTCTATATAAAAAGAACCTTTTTTTTTATTAATTAATAACTATATAAAAATATAATTTTCATAAATATAAAGTATAAAATTTGGGATGTTACAAGAAGAAAAAATACCAACTAAGAAATTTAGTTAACATCATATAATTTCATCAATCTCATTTAAAAATAACTTACTTTTCTAAATTACCCATCATTCAAATTTGATATAAAAAATAAATATAAATATTGAAAATATAACTCATTTAAAGAGATATTTTGGAGATAATATTATTAAATAAAATAAATCTAGTTAAAATTTATTTATATTTATGATTAACATTAGTTTTTGCTTATATTTGACATAGAAGGAAATAAACATTTTATCCATTAATTATTCACTTTTTTTTACAATTTATACAAAAATGAGATAATGAAACTGAGATAACGAGATACTATTACATTACTTCCTCTATCTTTATTATAAAAAACACACACTCGTTTTTGTTCTTAATTACATTATATAAATTATAATTATTTTTTTACTCATTTAATAATATTCTTCTTACAATATAACTTTTCAGTTGGGCTTTTTTTTTTCCTCCCATTCATAAAAAAAATAATTTAGAAAAATATTATGATATTAGTAAAATGTAATACATATAACTAATTTTCTTAATACTTTCTATTTTTTTTATCATAAGTAAAAAAAATTGATTTTACATGTATTAAGAAATTAGTTATTTGTATTAATTTTTACTAATCTTATAATATTTTTCTAAAAATTATCCCTATTAAAAATGACAAAAGAAACAATAAAAATATAACCGAAAAGTCATGCATTAAAGGAAAAATATTTTAAAGAGAATATCACTAAATAAAACAAAATAAGACACATTTCAAGAAAATTTGAAATAAGATAATTTGTAAACATATATTCTCTTTGTTCGTTTTTATTTATCGAATTTTCAATAAAATTTTATTTTTATTTACTTATCATTTTCAAATTTTAAAATAACATTAATCGTAATGTTATCAATTATATCATTATATTTCACCTATATATTTATCATGAAACAAAAATGAAAAAGAATATAATAGTAAACATTAAAATTATTCTATAAAAAATAATTTTTTTAATACATTCGTAAAAAAACTAAATGATTATTTTAAAGAAACATAATAATAATTGTACATTGAAATAAGAGTTTATTGAAATTAAAAAAAA